TCTTGTTCATTCCTGCAACAAGCAGTCCAAGCGAACGCTCATTTAGTGCAGCAGGCCGCGTTTTAGAGGCGAGGCGGAATCGTCTGAATCCTGGCACAGTAGATGCTATTCTGTTTTTGCACAGTGCAAAGGAAAAAGCCAAGTAGCTAATCCTACAACATGGCGTTTAGGCTGAATTGGCACCGTTTTGTTATCTATAGGCCTTTGTTCTATATCTGTTTTTTGGAGAAAAAAAAATTCTTAATTGTTACTTTGTATATCTGTTTGGAAAGTTGCAGTATAATATTCCAAATTATTTGAACAGACAGGGCTAGAAAATTTACCGTTATCCAGTCATTTGTGTGTGTTTGTGTGTTGCGTGTTGCAGTGACAGAAACGGCGATATTCAAAGTCTGAATGGAGTAAAGCCTGTTTATTTTATTAAGAAAATGTAGGCTAATCTGGCCAAAGACAAACTTTTGTTTTATAAATAAATGTTCAATTAAAAGCATCTTACGATCAGCGTATTATTTTACTATCAGAGATTGGCAGATTAGTTCTAACGTCACTGATTCTGATAACATCATGCTTAAAACAAAGAATTAGAGTAATTAAAGTGATGATCGGGTGCGTATATCTATATCAGAGAAAATTATACGTGCGGGCGGGTGGATAATTTATTTGAAGTAGCGGATGCGGGTGACATTTTAGCTCATCCGCACATCTCTAATATATATATATATATATATTTGTAAAATGCCAGTTTTTTAAATATCTGAAAGTACACTCTTAACATCAGTCAGTCAAGCATTATAATATGATAATCAATATTATTTAAAAATGGCACAGCTTTTTAAATATGAAAGTACACTCTTAACATCAGTCAGTCAAGCATTATAATATGATATTATGATAGTCAAGTATCATTTAATGATAGAAATTTTGTAATTTGAATTAAAACTTGGTAACCAAATATATGAATGCATATTAGTCATTTTAACTAAACTTAGGACTGGTGGTGGTGCTTTTTTGGTCATTCTGTATTTCTGTAAAAAAATAATGGTCTACGAATTCTACTAATAAGAACAATATAAAATGCACTAAGGATTAATGAGCTGCTGGATTCATGAATATTAATAAGGTTGTGTGCGTTCGCTCGAACTGATTTCCTGAAATCAAAACAGGGACGATAATAAGTGAGCGCCAGCCAATGAGGTTGCCGTTTGCGCATTAGTTCCGCCCACTACCGGAGAAACCGGCAGTTCTTAAAAGCTGACGAATTCCAAAGGAACGCCGTTATTTTGACAGGAAAATACAACAAAGAATATCGTTTACATGTAGCGTGTCAATTCTCTCTCTCTGCGTGTGTGTGAGACAAAGCGATGCGAGTCGTGCGCCTTCACACTAAAGTTCACGGTACGTCAAATACAGGTGCGTTGCACATCCATTGAGAATTTTTTCGATTTAAAACTTGACTCTTCTTTAGTTACATTGTGTACTAAGACTGATGGAAAATGAAAAGTTGCGATTTTCTAGGCCGATATGGCTAGGAACTATACTCTCATTCCGGCGGCAAGTGCAGCAGTCGTATTTGTCCGCCTAAAAATGCGCTGATTATGCGTTCTGTGTGAATGGCTTGGTTTCGGTTTTAACCTAATCAAGATCTTCTCCGCATTGAGCTTCTATATTTCTCTAATATTTTGAATGAATAACGCAGCAGCGGCGCATCTCGTGGGCTAGACTAACAAAACATTCAAATGCAACAACGTCACTTACATCATCACCGCATCTCGCGCGCCACTGATGACGCTCCATGACGCACTCCTAACATTCAAATGCAAATGTTTATTTTAAATTCAACTAATATTCATTATTTATTCACAATCTCCTCATCACAGGCAGGCACAGCACTAATTTCAGCATGTGTTTGTGTTTGTGTGTGCTGTCTACATCACTCATAGCACCTGCCTATATCGTGCGCTATATCGAAAAAAATGTATACCGTTATCGAAGAAGGTGTACCGTCGATAAATATCGATACCGTTTTATCGCCCAGGGCTATGGAACGCTAAGGTACACTCAGCTGGGGAGCGTTTTATAGATCAAATCAAACAAAAGGAGAGAGAAATGGAAAGGCAAAGAGATTCATATGATTAAAAAAATGCTAGTAAGAGAGACTAAACAACAGAAGAAGTGTAACAACGACAACAGAAAGTGACCTTACCGCAGGTCACTTTGTTGGGTGTTGGTTGAGGCTGGATTTCAGGCTTGCCCCTAGATTTTCTGCTCCAGTGGTAACCTCTACCTCGCTTCTGTCGGACAGGGGTGGTTGTTGTCATGGAAGAGCCAGTCCCTAACATAGCAAACATAAATTAATACACAACAACTAGGGCTGAGCAAATATTACATTAAACATTAACGTAATATTACATTAAACATTAACATTAAAAATGTATTCATTATGATTTTACAAAAATATTTTAAATTAAGCAATAAGGTGAATTATTATAAGCTTTATGCTTAATGTCCCACAAATGGTGTCAACTGGCTACCCTTGCGACTAGTTTAATCAAGACTACAACGCAAGTAGCAAAAACAGCATGGTAAATTAAATTTATTTCTGTTCATCAGTTCAAACTGTAAGTGTCAGTGAATTTATTCAAAACTCGATTCAACAATTTGTTTCATCACTAAGATAAAAGTCTCCACATGATATTTTTCATATATTTAAATGTTTTATTGAAATTATACAGCAGCACTACTATGCATTGTTACATTGGTGCATAAACGAAAATGATTAAATATCCTTTACTGTAGTGCAATAGTAATACTATTTACTCATAGCAGCCAATGAATTAGAAGTTCTGTATATTCACAGAAAACAGCTCACTTCCACATTGCAAAATAAGGTGGACATTATATAATATTTCCAAAAAGTGTGGAAAAATATAGAGACAAAACTTAACAAACAAAAGCATAAAATAAAAAAACATTTAATAAATTAATGTGCTGAGCTTTTAGCGGAAATCTCTTCTCACCTGCTCTCCACTGGTGGTCTTGTGTGTTTTCCAAGGATGGTATATCTGTGTTTGAACTGAACTGTGTGTCCCCGCTGGTATCCACTGCTTGGTATTCTATCTTCTCTCGCTCTGGAGACAGTAACAAGAACAGGTGACACATCAGTATCTGACCATAAACATTACTGATTGAAAAACACAGAGGAATATTTTGAGGAAAAGCATCATGTCTTTCCATTACTGTCTAATGTTATTTTACAGCTGATGCTCACCTGTTCTTCTCTTCTTTTGTGCAACAAAAGGCAGGACATCATGCCGTGTCAGAATTCGCAGCAACTGCAATAAAGGTTTGAGGTTTCCTTCGCTCAAGTATCCTCGCCTCTCCAACTCCAACAGCAGTTCAACGCCACTCTTGGGTCTGTGGCGACCAACAATGGGGCAAGGCTCATTCTGCGGCTGTATTCTTCGCCATGTTTTCAGAAGCCGAGGACATGGAGAATTACCCTGTGAAGACCCATCAGGCCCTGGAGGTAACTCATCAGTCCATCCCTCTGGATCGAGGGGATGTTTTCCAGGATAAGCTTCATCGAGGAGAAAGGACAAAACCTCGACATCAGTCTCTGTGAGTTGGGAGCCCACGATTTCAAAGATCTCATGGAGGGACAGCATCTCATAGTAGCTGAGGCACTCGGTCTCCTCCCAGTACAGGGAATATCTCGTGCATTTCGCTGAAGCCATGGTCCCTTCAAATGTCCAAATGTGTCTGGTAAAGAAGAACACGAATACACATCAAATGTGAGTTTGGTACTGGTTAATATATATATATATATATATAAAATATTAAAAATACAAAGAACACAGTGC